TGATGCAGATGAGTGATTCTGGGGAGGGTTCCAGTCTAGAGGAAGGATCAAATTGGGTAAGGGCAGGAAGCTAGAGAAGAGACCAGAAAGCTCTCTGTAGGAGACCAGGAAGCTGCGTGGATGGAAGAATGGCAGGAAACAGCAGAGGCCTAGACAGGAGGACTGGATTATGTGAGCTAAGCAGGAAACAATGCGGGCAGGCAGGAGAAGGAGGACTTAGCCTGGAGGCTGAGTGAATCAGGGTGAAGAGTGGAGGAAACGACACGTAGCAGAGCAGGCAGAGGTTCACAGACAAATGGGAGTCTGTTGTATCTGCTTGAGGACAGACCAGGAGAGTCTGGGACCTGACATCTGACTCGGCACTCAGGACAACTCTCTGCTCCTCCATAGGCCCAAAGTTTGATTCGAAGGATCCACATGGGGCTCACAGCAGAGGAACGAGTGATGTTTTACACCCTATCCTCGTCCCAGAGGAGCGAGTGATGTTTTCCACACTATCCTGGGAACATTTGTGCACTAAGGTCGTGCACATAGGCAAAGTGGCCATTGAAGGAAAATTCATGGTTTTGAAGAGTGATGAATTCTTGCTAAGAAAAGAGAGTTTAATTTATTCCTCTGAATGTCGAAGCACCAAGACCTGAAATGAGGAACTGTTTTATGGTGGTACTTTAAAAAGCAGATACAGGAGGATCTAGGGAAATGTGAAGAGGAGCAAGTCTCGGGCAGTTTAGAACGTTATGGGAACCTAATGAGCCTAGGCAAGAGAAGTTGTCTGTGGAGGAGAGGGCTCCAGGGATAGCCTGAATTGGAAGCTTGGGATTGGGCAAAGAAATCTCCTGAGGAAGGCAAAATGCCCCTTGGTAGAACCAGAAGCTATAAAGGGGCGCAAAGTCTTGGCAGGAAGACAGGAGAATTGGAGTGAGGGTAGTAGTCTCCATGAGGTCCTGAGTAGGTCAAGTGGACTAGGGAGGTATCTGGGCCCACCTTGACCAGAGGTCAGAGAGTCCGAGCTTGTTTTGCTCTTTCAAAGTTGTTGACAACAAATGGGTACAAAACAAGAGGTCCTGACCTAGAGTGGTTATTTAGTATTTTGAGTATACAGGTGTATCCACTCCACCTTGACCAAGGGTCAGAGATGCTCTGTATCATGTTGATGAAGTCTGTTGTCTCCCCACTTTTGGAGTGGGGTATAAAAAGATATGTGGAAAATAAAGGGGTGATTCAGTATTCACTTAATGTCCTGCCTGATGCTGTTCTGTGTTTTGTCTCTTACCTCTGTTCTTTTTTGCTTAATAATTCTAATCCTCGTGCTCCTACCCTGGGACGTGTGAATCCAGTTGAAGCTAGTCCTCGACAGGGAGACTATCAGGAGCGTTGTAGGCTGGGAATGAGAAGCAAATGTTCCTGAGGTTTGTATGAGGATATGGGAAGGCAGAGGATGGTGATAGAGGATAATAGTGAGAAGAATCAGAATCAGAATAGGAAAAGCAGAAGCCTGGGGACTATTTTAGTAGGCAGTAGGGTCGGTGGCAGGAGAAATGGATTACAAGAAACTACGGGGGAATGCAGGAGGGACAGGACATGCGTTGATATCATTGGTAGGATTGGGAGATTGGGGGTGATGACAGAAATCTGGAAGACTGGAGTGTTCAGTCTCAGGGTAGAATGTTTGATAGAGGGCAGGACTCTGGGGCAAGTGAGAAGGCTGAAAGGATAGAAGGGGGTCCGTGGGGAGAGTAGGACACAGCTCCAAAAGTGGTCCCAGGCTGCTTAGGATTCTGTGTATCAACCTAGGAAGATCCAGTTTAGACTTGGGAGCCAGAGGTCAGAAAGGAAGAAAGTAGGTCAGTTGACTGTGGCTTTCTGGGTAAAGACCACCATCTGGGCTGAAATGCCGGAAGCTCGGTGGCATGAGGACAAATGACTGGGGTGGAGGGCTAAGGTGTCAGGTTAGAGGCCGAGGGAAGGCAGCAGTGTAGGCATCGTGGCTGTGTAGGCAGACCTTGAAGGAGAGCAGAAGTCTCTTGAGGATAGCAAGACTCCACTCAGGAGGACAGGAGGCTGAGCATGTGCCTAGGAGACCAGAGGCCGTCAGGGTTTGGAGACTGAGCAGAGCCGAGTAGGAGGATAGCACTGTGGCCTGTGTGAGCGTAGGTTTCCACAATGGAAGGCAAGAGGGTAGGGGCTCTGGAGGCTGGGTGATGTACTATTTTCATGGAGGGGGGGGGAAGTCGGGAAGCCTGGAAAGGTGACAGGAGACTCTGTTGGGTGGAAGAAGGTTAGAGAGGAGGGCAGGCGTGTATGGAGGCAAGCAAGGCATGGTAGGAAGTAAGGGAGAAGATGAGGGCAGGAAAATGAGGGTTTTGTTAGGAGGGCCTGGTTGGCAGACTGAGGAGGTCAGCAATCCCAGGGGAGGTGAAGAGAGTTTTGTGTAGGGCAGAAAACTTAGGGAAAGATGGGCTCCTGCTTCAAGAAAGAGGGCTGCAGGCTAGGGCCAAAAGTTCAGACCAACTGGGGGAGTTTGGAGCTGGAGGCATAGCTCAGCAGTCATGACAACTTCCTGTTCCTTTAGAGGACACAGGTTTGATTCAAAACACCCACATGAAGGCTCACAACCATCTTTGACTCCAGTTCCAGGGGTTCAATACTCTCTTCTCACCCCCACCCAGGAACTATTCATGCATTTGGTGTTCAGAACACATGAAGGCCAAACCTCCATCCACAGAAGACTATTTTATTAAATTTTCAACATGGAGAATTTTTAATAACCTGGAAGAGGTTAGTTTACTCCAGTCATGGTTGAAGCGCAGAGTACAGGAAGGAGGATCTGGTGTGGGGTGGGATACCAGGTAGGGATAGAGGAGGACGTGAGAAGGGAGTAGGCTGACAAGGAGGACAGGAAGTCAAGGGTAGCAAAAGATTCTGTGCAAGAAAGAGATGACTAGACTAGGGGGCAGGTGTCTCTTGGGGAGGGTGTCAGTACCAGGGCATGGCTTTGAGGCTCAAGAAAAGTGCAGGCGCCTTGGGGGAGCTCAAGAGATTCAGTTGGTGGTCAGGAGGTTGAGGAGGGGCACAAAGACTGGACAGGAGGAGCAGAGACTTGGATTAGGGTAGCAGGCCGCAGGAGGTCCTGCTGTGTATGGGGATGTGAGAAAACCCGGAAGGACAGTAGGAGGGCAGAAAGATTGAATGCTGGGGTGGGGGCTGAGTGATCTGGAGGAGGACAGGCAGATACAGGAGGAGGGAAGGATGGCGATGTCATGTGTCTAAAAGAATGGCAAAGGAGAAAATGGAAATCTGAGGACCACGGAGGAGGTGGATGGGGAGGATGGCAGAAACAGTGGGGGAGCATGAAACTGGGGAGGATTACAGGAGGGATGGGTTGGGCAGATTCATGAGTTGGGGCAGGAGGATGGAGGTGGTTGTGGGGCATATGTCTGGTAGACTGGAAATCCTAGGACTGGGGCTGGAGTTAGTAGGCTTAGTACTGGGTCACATTCTGGGTCTAGTGAGAAGGTTTGGAAAGAGTGGGATATTGAGGGCCGGAAGAGTTTTCAGGAGCTTAGGATGATCCGGTCGGGGCTTAGAAGATGGAGAGCAGGAAACTAGTCAAGTTGCTAAGGGATGATGGGTAGCTGGCTGAAGAATAGCAAAAGTCTGAGGTGAAATGTCAAAGGATGACATTTAAGAGAACAGGGGAGGAGGACAGAAGGCCCAGGGCTGTGAACAGGAATCTGAGATAAGGCAGGAGTCTAGGTGTCAGGCTAGACAGGGAGACGGGACATGAGGACAGAAGTCCTAAGAGACAGGAGGTACAAGGATGACTCAGAAACTGTTCTAGGACACAGTGCACTCAAGGAGCATCATAAGGTAGTCACCCAGAGGCCAAAGGATGGGGAGTAAGACAGGAGGCAGGGGAGGGGGCCACATGGAAGGGAGAAGAATCAAGTGCTAATGAATGAGTGGGAGGCAAGTGGAGTGCCAACTGCTGGAGAGGAGACTGCCTGATTGGCAGGCTAGCAGGAGGTCAGGGAGGTGGTGAACAAGAGGATCATGGGGGAGAGAGGGCTGAAGGCTAGGGGTGGTGGGTGTCTTGTTTGACAAGGAAATGAGTCTGCGGGGAAGACAGGATTGGATGATCCACAGAGATTAGGCACTGCGTTGGTGTGGGAAAGAATGGTGATGAGGGCTGCAGAGAAGGGTCCCAGCCACTAGCCACGTGGAGAGTGAGAAGCTGGAGAGGTGTACTGTCTGTACTACGTGCACTACGGTACAATGTCTGTAGTGCGGAGCCTGCACTAGGAGACTGTACACAAGCCAGGAAAAAACCCAGAGATTTAAACAGACAAAGACACACAGACAGAGACAAGGGCCATCCTTGAAACAAGAATGCCCCCTTTATTGCGTTCCAGAACCGCTTATATACAGATCCTTAACTGGTAGCCACACCCTGGTCAAACCCACCAGAAACCAGTCCCCTGCCATCAGGAACTCCTGAGGGTCTCATGCTCAGAGTAACTGCAAACACAGGAAAACAAGTTGTTTTGTTCAGAGCAGCTGCAAGCATAACAAGAAATTCAGGGTCTGGGTTCACAGCCCCCAACAGGGAGGAGGGCAGGGAGCCTGAACAGAGGTCAAGGGGCTCTTAGCAAGATGTAAGAAGGCTCTGGTGGAGGGTAGGATGGCAGGGGGATGGAAGGGAGGCTAGAGAGGAGGACAGGGTATGTGGAGGTAAGCAGGAGGCACTGTGCTGGGTAAGGATGCTGAGGGTACAGGCAGGAGGCTAAGGAGTTTGCTAAGAGGCCCTGGTTTGGCAAGAGGCTGAGGGGATCTGGATGGATTGCAGAAGGCAAGTTTGAGGGAGGGCACAAGGTTCTTAGAAAATGGGAGCCCGCTGTAGGAATATTGGCTTTACTATAGGGCCACAACTTCAGATAATGGGAGAGTCGGAGGCTAGACATCTGTCTCGGCACTCAGAATAACTGTCTGCGTCTCCACAGGCTGGAAATTGGAACAGGAAGTATCCACATCATCTCATAACAATCTACAACTCCAGTCCCAGGGGATCCGGCGTTCTCTTCTGCCTCTTCTTGGACCAAGAGTGCCCTTGCTGCTTCGAACACATACTCAGGCTAATCACAGAAAATTATTTTGAGGAGCGGGCAATTTTTACTAATAGAGAAGAGTAGAGATTATGCATATGATATGGTTGGAGAGCTGAATACTGGAAAGAGGTTCTGGTGAAGGTGGGATCCCAAATAGGTTTCGAGGAGGATCTGGGGAAGTTTGGAGTCTGGGGGAGAGCAGATGAAGTCAAGGGCAGCTTAAGATGTGATGTGAGGGTAACGAATCAGAGAGGGATGAAGGAAATGGGGAAGCTAAAAGCAGATAATTTGGAGCGTTGTTGAAGGCTATTAGGGGCCTGAGAAAAAGGCAAGGTACGTGCTGCAGACAGGTTTATTAGTCAGGGAGAACAGAAACTAGGCTTGGTTGGCCAAGAAGAAAACAGATGGGTGCAGTAGAAGTCTGAGGTTGCCAGGATCAGAACATGGATGGAGGTTCGGGGTGGTCATAGTTATCTGGGAAGGAGGGCAAGGTGTCCACTGGTAGATCCAGAGGTGGTCGAAGGACACCAAGTCTAGGCAAGAGGACAGGAGTTTGAGGGTGAAAGTAAGGGGCTCCAGTAGGTCCCAAGAGCCATGGAGAGATGAGCAGACCATGTGGCAGATGTCAGGAGTGTTCCAGACTTGGTAGGAAGGATAAATGCTCCTGAGGAGAGGAGGAGGCTCAGGGGAAGCAGAAGAATGATGAGGATATGTGACTAGAAGAGGAGGGGGAGGAAATGCCTCTGGAACAGGTCAGGAGAAGGATGGGAAGAAGGGCAGGGTACGCAGTAGGAAAGCAGGAGACAAAGGGGAATGCAGGATGGACAGGGAGTTGGGAGATGTCAGGAGGAGGGGCAGAAGGTTGGAAGTGATGGCAGAAGTCCGGAAGATTGGAAATGCTGGGTCTAGAAGAATGACGCTGGAGAGAGGAAAGCAGTTTTTCAGCGGGTGAGAAGGCTGGGCTGAAGTTCTTGGAGATAAAGACACTGCATTCCAATTCTGGGGCATCTAGAAATGTCTGCTACAAGGCCAAAAAACAAAAAAAAAAAATCCAGTGGAAGCTTAGAATGGAGGGCAGACAGAAAGAGAAGACGTCAATCGGCAAAGAGCAGGATATCTAGATGAGTAAAGGCCAGCATCTGTGTTAAAATGTCAGCATGTCACATAAGAGAGAAAATGCCTGGGGAAAAAGGCAGGAAGCTTAGGACTCTTGGGTTGGAGACTGTGGTAAGGCAGAAATCTAGGTATCATGGCTGAGTAAAGTGAGTGCAAAGGAGGGAGGAAGTCTGGGGAGGATGGCAAGACTCTGATCTAGATGGCAGGAGGTGGGGGGGCGTGCCTAGGCAGGGGAAGACAAGATATTGAAAGGGAGGACTGCGGGCTAGGAAGATGACAGGATGGCCAGGCTCGGCATAGGCCCCTGCAGTTGAGGACAAATGTTTGGGATCATAGGTGTCTGTGTCGAAGGGCAGGTTCTTGACAGTAGCATGGATGCCTGTGTGGAAATTCAGTGACTACCGTGTAGGGCCCGGGTCTGCCCCTGCTCCTGGGGTGCATCTTGAGGACTGATCTCCTTTCGAATGACCCAGGTCTCTTCTGTGTTCTTTCAGTCTCCAGGCCCTTGCCCGACTCGCGGATGGTACAGTGGCGCCCGAACTGTACCGAGGGGGTAACACAAAATCGGGTGTTACACTGTGTCGCAGGGCACAGTGGTCCTGAGGAGGACGGGACACTCACCAGGAGCACCACAGACTGGGAAGAAAGGCAGAGAGACATGAAGTTATGAGGGCAGAAGGGCAGGGACTATAGAGAAGAAAATATCGTGAAACTGTAGGAGGCTAAGGAAGGGCAGAGTGCGGGACAGGAGGGTTGCATGCTTGGGAGGACAGCAGGAGTCTGAGACTGCAGGAGAGAGGCGGTCAAGGGGACAAACATGACTAATATTGTGGAATTGCAGTCTTGTACAAAGGGTAGGAGTTCGAGAAGAAAGCAAGATGCATGGTGCAGAGAGGATCATGAACCAGGGTGGTGGACACTATGTGGGTAAGAAAAAAAAGATATGAGATAGAGTTAAGGGTGCCTGTGTACAGGAAGAGTCAAAGTCTGGGATGGGCAGGAAGCCAGGGAAGGGGGAAGAATGCTCTCTTCCCCCACACAGAGGGGAGTGGCCCATAGATTGGGTAAGGTGACTGGAAGGGGCAGAAAGTTACACAGGACAGGAGTATGTGCAGGTGATCAGGATGCCACATGGGGAGAGAGGCCACAAGGAGAGTGAAGATGCATGCAGGAGGATGACGGGGATGATCGGAGGCCTGAGTTAGGCAGGAGGCTGAGGGGACAAGGGTGAACAGTGGAGAAGAAGACGCGTCAGGGAGGGCTTATAAAGGCTCATAGAAAAGTGGGAGCCTGCTGCAGGAAAGTGGGCTAACAAATAGACATGCGCACCTTCAGTTAGCCTGGGAGACTCTTGAGCTGGGTGTCTGTCTCAGCACCCAGGAGCTGCCTGCTCCTGCACAGGCCCGCAGTTTGATGTCAGACAGGCACATGGGGCGCACAACGGTCTGCAACTCCATCCACAGGGCAACTCAAACACTCTTCTGGCCTATCCTGGGACCAGGGATACAGTTGCTGCTTAGAACAAATACACAGGCATTCACAGAAAATGTGTAATGATTCTCAAGGCAGGGAGTTTTACTAATAGGGAAGAGTTTAGCCTACCCATGTGATAGGTCAAGAACTGGGTACTGGAGGGAGGGTCTGGTGAGGGTGGGCCTCTAAATAGGGTTTAGAGGAGGATCTGGGGTGCATAGGAGACTTGGACAGAAGGGAGGAAGTCAAGGACAGCTTAGGATCCAATGCTAGTGTAATGGACCCAGCTTATGGGGGAGGGAAGGTGCCTGAGGGTAGATGGGTTTCCGCTCAAATCATGGATTTTAGGTGCCTGAGTGGGCAAAAATATCTGTGGAGAAGTGTAAGATGCCTGCAGTTAGGTCCAGAATCTGGAGGGGTGCAAAGTCTGCTCAAGAGGGCAGGAGGCTCAGGGGGAAGGTAATAGGCCTCAGGGGGGGAGGCCACTGGGAAATATGTTAGGAGCATTAGAGGCTGGGCATGAGGGCCCAGTGCTCCCGCGAAGGATGTGCAGCTCTGGGAAGGCAGAAGGGTGGTGAGTATAGAGTTCTACAAGGGGAGAGAATGAGGATGGGAAAAGCAGAATCCTGGGGAGCTGGCTAGGAACGTGTGGGGGAGGGCATAAGGCACAGTGGAACTGCAAGACACTAAGGCAGAATGCCTGAGGGAAGGAGGGCTGAGCAAATTGGGGGAGGGGCAGGAGTTTGGAAGTGATGGCAGAAGTCGGGAAGGTTGAAATGCTGGTGGTGTGGGGACAGGATGTGAAAGATGGGGTAGTTTGTTTAAGGCATATGAGGAGGCTGGGAGGAGGGAAGTACATTTCTGGGGGAAGATTAGGGCTCTGGGTTCTAAAAGCAGTTCCGGGATGCTTAGGAATCTGTGTGCCAGACAAGGAGGATCGGTTGAGACTGTAGGCAGGCGTATGGAGGGTGGGAAGAGAGGTCAGTTGATTAGGACAATGTAGCTGTCCAGGGGAAGGCCAACTTCTGGGTTGAAATGGTGGAGACTTGGGGCAAGAGGACAAATGACTGGAGAGGAGGAGGAAAGGAAAAGGACTCGGGTCAAAGGCTAAGATAAATTCAGAATCTAGGTGTCAGGGTTCTGAATGGCGACATTAAAGGAGGGAAGTCTTGGGAGGCTGGCAAGGCTCTGTGCAGGACAGGAACCTCAGAGTAAGTCAGGAATGTGAGAGAGATAGTGCTAGGCTAGACGATGACCGAAGGAGCATAGGTCCTTGAGATGAAGGGCAAGTTTCTGAGAGCTTAGGGGTCCATGTGGAAGAGCAGACTGATCACAGGAGCTCAAAAACCTGAGAAGAGGTTCAGAGCTCTTCACGGGCATAGTGCTGCTGCTGAGGGCAGGACACGCAACAGGAGGACAAAAGACTGGGGTGAGGTAAAAGACTGGCTTGAGGTTCAGGGAGAAGAAATGGCTAGGAGCACAGAGGAGGAAGAGGCTACAGAGGACAAGAGACATGGGACAGCCGGCTAAGGGAAGGGGGCTGGAGAGGAGAGCCACGTGTGACAGTTTATAAGGACAGGGCAGCAGCAGAGAGAAGGATCAAGGGGTTCTGAAAGAAGGAGGCCATTGTAGTTCTCAAGTTTGACCTGAGTCTAGGGGAAAGGAGGATTAGGGTTGCCTGAGGGCAACAGGGCATCATAGCAACCTGGGCTGGGGGGAGTCAAATGCTTAGCTTCGGAGCCAGGCAGGTAGGCACAGAGGGTTGGGAAGTGGCTTTGATGAAGGGCAGAACTGCAGGGGAGGACACAAGCCTAGGAAGGAGGACAGAAATCTGTTGTAGGTCAACAGGAGGTAGAATATGAAAGTCAAGGAGGAACGCCCGGCCGTGGTGGCACACGCCTTTAATCCCAGCACTTGGGAGGCAGAGGCAGGCCGGTCTCTGTGAGTTCGAGGCTAGCCTGGTCTACAGCTAGTTCCAGGACAGGCTCCAAAGCTACAGAGAAACCCTGTCTTAAAAGACAACAAAAAATAATAATAATAATAAAAAGAAAGTCAAGGAAGTTGGATTATGCGTGAGGATGAGGTTATGATAGGAAGCCAGGGTGTTACAGAGGAGGCTGGCAGGAAATGAGGAAGTGAAAACAAACGGAAGGGAGGGCAGAAGTCTCACAGAAAGGTTGGAGCCTGAGAGGAAAGAAGGCTACAGAGCAGTGCCAAAACTCTGAGAGTCAGGGGATATCTGGGACCAGAAAAATGCCTCGGCTGTTAGGAAAATTGTCTGCTCTACACTACCCAGGTCCAATTCAACACTCTTCTCAGAGTTTTGGGCAACAGACATTATGCCTTCTTCTGGACTCCCCGAGGGCCAGGCAAGCACTTGGTTAACATTGATATAGTCAGAAGTGTCTTTCACACAGGGTGGACAGTTCTGCTAGAAGGGGAGAGTGATAAACAGAACAAAGGTGTGCATGAGGTAATGAGGTGAATGAGTAAGGAGACTCTTGAGGATCTTTAGGGAGATCTGTACCTGGAGGAGGAAGTAGGCAGCTCATGGGGAGCTTGCAAAACCCAGAAGGGATCCTGTGTAGGAAAAGATTGGTGAAGAAGGCAGCAGCCTCTGAAATGGTGAGAGACGGGGGGCGGGCAGACACCTGGAGAACAGAACAGGAGGGAGACAAAGGTGACAACAAGCTGAGGAGGAGAGGGCCGGAGGCTTGAGAGGCTGTAGGAAGCTAGAATCAGTCATCAGAATGGGTGACGGGTTGTCTACGAGGGTGGGGATGACACCAGGCAATTTGGGAGGCTGTAGGAACCTGGTCCATGATACAAACTGGAAACTTTGGGCAAGAGGCTTGGGAAGACTCTAGTTTACTCTCAAGGTGGTTGGAACAGAAAGTAATGAGGAAACTCAGTTGTAGCATGGGATGCTAGGGGTGGAGGAGGGTAAGGAAGAGGCTCACTAGGAAGGTTAGGGGTGCTGTGCAGGGCAGGAAGTTGATGAAAACTTTGGAAGCTATGGGAGAAGGAACGTCTAAGGAGGAGCCACAGAGTGGTTAGTATAGCTTAGGAAACTGGTGGAAGGAAAGGCTGAGAGGGAACACATAAAACTAGAGGAAAGGCAGGGCATCTGGAGGAACAAATGAATATGAATTTGGGTGAAAGGCTCAAGTGGAGGATAGATCTGTGGTGGGGACCAGGTATGTGGCTGGAGGCTCTGGGAGCTAGCAGGCCTGTTGTTGGCTAGATAGGCCCTGAGGAGGTTCAGGAATCTATGCTCTAGTGGAGGCCATAAGTCTAGGTCGGACAGCTAGAGGCCAAGGATGACAGGCTTCTGGAAAAGGCAGAAGGCTCTGAGGGGGTGGTCACAGGGTTCAAGGAATACGGTAGGAGGCTAATAAATGGCAGGGTTCATAGAGGAGCCCAGAATCTAGAATGAAAAGTTAGACGGTTGAGGATAAAGGCTAGACGCTTCAGAAAGTGAGGAACTGGGGGGGAGAGCAAGAGGATTAACATGAGCTCAGAGAGCCATAGGGACCCAGAAACTGAAAGAAGACAATAGGGTGAGAAGGGGGGTAGAAAGATCAGGGTTCAGAATGTTAAGGGTCTCAGAGGATGGCAGAATGCTTGGGTGTAGGAGACCGGGAAGGATGGGAGCCAGGAGCCTTGTGGTATGTGGAACTGACAGCGATTGTAACAACAGTGTCTGGCAGAGGGCAGAGAGCTCTGGTCTCCCAGGAGCCAGGGGAGGATCCCGGAAATTGACTAAGGCGAACAGGCGCCTCAGGGTATGAAGTGAGCACGAGAGCTCTGTAGATGATCTGAGAGTAGGGACAGGAGTCTCAAACTAATGGTGGGTGCCTGCAGGAGGACAGACAGTTGGAGAAAGGCAGAGAGGGTCCTGCAGGTTGGGGTGGGTAGTAGAAATTTAGATGGCAGTGCAGAAGACGCTGGGGAGGAATGGAAGCTGGGTTCAGGTGATGGGGTTCAACTAGATTGTAGGAGTCTTGAGAATTAGGAATGCTGTTCAAAGAAGGGTAAAAAAGGGGGAACTGGGCACCAGGCTGGGGAGACACTCGGAGTGTGTTTATCATGGCAGTGGGCACTGGGATTTGGGGAACCCAGGGAAGGGTATAAGGTTTAGGAAGAGTACATGACACTGGGAAGGGAGCCAGTAGTTAAAGGGACAGCGAGAGGCTTGGAAAGAGGTCTAGGGTGAGTGTAGGAGGCTTCAGGATGTTCCCTGTGAATGGAGAGGGCTTTAGGCTTAGGGAGAATGCAGGCTTTACATGACGAGGGGGATAACTGGGGAGGACAGGAGCCTCCTGGGATGGGGCTGTGCTGGAGAGTAGAAGGTTTTATGGGAGAGCAGGAAGCTGGGAGAAGATGTCAGAAGGCTTTGAAAGTTAGGCTCTCAAGGGAGGGCCGGAGCACAGACTAGGTGGGCAGGGCAGGACAGGGAAGGACAGGGAAGGAAGATGTGGGGTTACACACATTGAGAAGATTGGGGAACACGGTGGTAGTGATGAGGAGGGCAGAGATTGGGAAGGAAGCAGCGGGGCAGTAGAGTTCCAAGTAGGGCAGGAAGTTCAGGGAATGATGTTGGAGGTAGGGTGAGGAAGCTGCACAGGAGGGCAAGGGGTTTAGAGGAGAATAGGCTCCTGGGGAACACAACAGCGGGATGTGGAAGAAGCCAGGAGCCTGGGGGTAAAGGTTGAAGACTGGGCGGATAGTGGAATGGATGCCATGAGTGAGAAAGAGGCCAGGGTCTCAGGGAGAAGCCAAGAAAGAAATGGATGTGCAAAGAGGGGCCACCATTTCCCAAGTAGGATGATTCCTGGGGGACTCAGAGTTACACCCAGCTTGGGTTTGGGGTTCAGGTGACATTCAAGGCTTGTCACTAAGTGCTCTCCAGAACACCTTGATAAGAACAGCACTCCCAACAGCCCTGGTGGTGGGTCTACATGCCATTTGCCAGCACACACATATACCTGAGTCCCTGGGCTCCTCTATCTTGGTCCCAATCATCTTGCCAGGTCCCTGATGTCTTACCCCCTCTGCAGAATCACAGGGTCCCACAAACATAGGGGTCAGACCGATGTATTTGTGTGAAAAGTCAACTATGTGCTCATAGGATGCTGAACAGCTCTATTCCTGGGGACTGGATTGTCAGTTAACCATGGGCAAACACTACTGCTGCTCACAACATTCATTTATTAAAATTAATAATGTGAACTTTGTCTTCCTCCACAAATGCAAGGAGTTTATCTCCAATTTGCACCGGCAAAGAACCGATCACAACATCAGTGCTGAAGAAGACACAGTCCTCGATCCAGCCATAATCATTCCCACAGGTAGTCACAATACCCTTCACAATCTTGATATTGGGTTCACCTGTGAATGGGAACATGGCAAGAGCCATGAATTAATCTGAGAAGCAATAACCCACACCAAAAATTCCTTCTTAGCGATGATACGGTACACAAACAAGTCCTTCTGCTAACAGGGTGCTTCTGGTAGGAGGAGCCCATGCAAGGGACTGGAAGCAAAAAGGGGAACTCTACGGGATTCTGGAGGTAGAATATACAGGTTCAAATCCTGATGTGCCATGCTTTGCACAGAAGGACCCTGGTTAAGGGCATGAGTTGAGACCCAGATAGCCTTGGTTATGACCACTGTGTCCTTAAATGATGGTCTGTGTAGCCCCAAGTATATTTCATGTCCTCTGACAATGTTAGGAAATTATGTCTCCTGATTTCTGGGGTGCACATCAAAAGGCACAAAAATGTCAACCCCAACTATTGTGAGTGTCGTATACACCTTAGAATTCAAGGTCTGTGGGTAGACACTGTTTCAAGTACAATAGTTACTGTAAAGTGTTGTCTAATACAGTGAGGGGTAGCTATGGAGATTTTACAAAATCACCAAAAGCAGGCCTATGGGCACAGTCTGTAAAGAATGACAGAGAAGGATCAAAAGGTCAAGGCTTTCCTAAGCCACAAATCAAGCCCCCTGGCCATCCTGGGCAACACAGGGAGTCCTTGAGTCAAAATTCCAGTGTGAGGCAAGGACCGCGTGTTCTGCCCAGGTGTGTAGTGACTGCCTATCATGCAGGGGACTTTGGATTCCACTGCCAGCACTACGTCCAGATAATGCCGGGAATGGATTTGGTTTCATGAGACCAAGGTTCACACCGTGGCCCTAGACAGGCCCGAGACTCAGTCATTATGCAGCTTAGGTTGGCATCAAACTTCTGACGCTCCTGCCATCCCAGAAAAAATTGCTGTAGGATTGACATGGCAAGACTGGGGCTTCTCTTGAAGGATCGCTCATGAATATTAACCACATGCCCGGCAAATCGAAACACCAGATCAAGTTAGAATGACTTAACAGCTTGGACACCATAAACCCCTGACAACTTTCTTACACTGCCCTAGGTTCCCACCCACCCACAGGCCTTCACCTACCCTGCTTGAGTGCTCACTAAAAGTGAGATTCGAGTTGCAGGGAACAAAGTGAGCATCACACAATTGTGACCCCTGCTCTCCCAGGCTTGGCAAAGAACAGGGACTGACTCCCTTCTTGCCTCAAATACGAGCAGGGATCGGAAAGACACCAAGACCGATGCTGAATCACGCTCAAATGTGGGTGCTTTGCTGCTCCCAGAAGTATAAGAAAGGCTCTAAGGAAAATTTTGTGTCCTAGCTAGTGTAAATGGGTCAAAATTCTTCCCGCATTGGCCCACCAAGCGAATTTGACAAGTGGACACGGTCCCACTGAGGACAGGTGCAGGCCTCTATGATCTTTTGTAGCCTGTGCTCACAGCTAAGGACAGCCTCTCTGGAGTGTCTCCTGCAGTGAAGTCTAGGGCACTGTGTGCCCGGGGACTACCTTCCAGTTGTGCCTGGTCTCTTTTGACAGATTCAATCTTCCACTGAAATAAGTACACTACACCACGCAACAGCCTGAATAACCGCCTGATGCAGC